CGTGTGCTCTTCCGATCTCCCCAAAACCCCAAAACCCCGTGATTTAGAATTAAACTAAATTTAGTGATTTAGCAGGAGGGGAATTTGAACTAATTAAATAAAAACTATTACCTTTAATTAAATAATGAGAGTGGGCTACGATAACAAATTAAGCGATCTAGAGAAACCTCTTTTGACTCAGTCTACTGCTATTCAAACACTCCCAACTTAAGACGATCAGAGTGAGTTTGGGATTGCGGATAAGAAGTCAGATCTTAAACTTCACCTTGTTCTCTTACAGATTGCTAAGTTATCAGTATGCCCCATAATAAGTATGATATTCCATCCAGCATACCAAGCAGCAAATACAATCATAATAGGAAAACATCAAAACGCTGTTCAACTACAAGCAACTCTCGGTCTCACTACTCTTTTCATGAATACTTTGATAGTTACTATTCAAATTGGCTTCAATGGGTCTCTCTCAACTCTAATCTCTCAGGCATTTGGCTAGAAAGATTACAGATTATGCGGACTCTACCTAAATAGACAACTTATGTTAAATGGATTGATTTTCCTTCCGATGGTAATAATTATGATGTTTTCGAAGGAGCTTTATTTACTTTTAGGCTAAGATGCTGATATGGCATCCGAGGCCGCCACTTTCTTATAAATTACCCTTCCTGGGTTCTTTTGCTTTGGGTAGTATCTTTGCTATCAAAGATTCCTTGCAGCACAAAGAGAAGTAAGATTCGCAATGTATATAAATTTGGTATGTTTCTTTTTACACATCCCACTCTGCTACTATTTAGCGATAAGCTCAGATCTGCAGTTAGTAGGAGTAGCAATTGCAACCTCGCTGCATTTCGGATTCAGACTAATTATGATGCTTATCTGTATAAGGTTTTCCAGATTCTACAAAAGTATCATATCTTTGAGAGATCCAGATAATTTCTGGAATTTTAAGGTCTAATTAAAGATGAGCTTTTAAAATAGCATGATGTTCATCTCTGGACAGTGGGCGTTAGAGTCCTTCACTCTAATGAGTACATTCATGTCACTTCAAGTGATAGCAGCATAAATTGTATGCAGAAACATAATTTTAATCGTCTATATGGTACCAGTAGGATTAGCTTAAGCCTCTTCGGTATTCGTAGGCAACATGATAGGACAGAAAAAGCTGAAAGATGCCTAAATTTATGCCAAGATGGGAGCACTATGTTCATTCATTTGGGGACTATTTTTTGTTGTAATAATGACTATAATGAAGACTTATGTAGTCTAGCTATTTAGTTCATCTCTAGAAATTAATGAGTTAGTTTATTAAGTATTCCCCATTCTGCAAGTCTACGTCTTAATTGATTCATTACAAGGAATGGGTATTGGCTTGATAACAGGAATCGGTCGTTAGGCTAAGGCTTCTATATTTACTATGACTGGTTTCTGGGGTATTGGAGTTCCTACAGCAATAATCCTAAGTTTTTCTTTCAAACTCAATTTAATTGGTCTTTGGATTGGTGCCTTAGTTTCCATTTCTTTCTGCTGCATCTCTTATTATATACTGATAATTAATACCGACTGGAAACAAAGAATAAAAGAAGCTATATAGAGAAGGAGAAGTGAGAAGAAACTTCCCTGATGAATAAAATTTTATGTTAAACACTAACGAAAAGAGATATTTCAAATTTATTTATAAGTTGAATTTGAACCTAAAATATCCTTTTCATTAGTTTAAGTATTTATTGCAAATAAATAAAACTTCCATTAAATCTTCTTTTTTATTTATGATGGGGTTTTGGGGTTTTGGGGTTTTGGGG